ATCGGAGTAAATGCACATCACATTTTTTCTTCTTCTTATCAAGGTATATTCATGATATTCTAAGAAATGTATTACTGACAAAAGTATGGAATCAGTGCATGATTTCGAGAGTAAATGATAATCTCTTAAAGAAACTTATATCAATGACTTTAGAATCTTGTTTGTAATCATTCTTAATATGAGGAAAGGTATATGATCTGATTGTGGATAAAATGTGTTTAGAAAGGAGAAGAGGAAAGAGAAGTAGAAGAAAAAAAGATACACGAGTGTAACATATATATAATCTCTCTCTCTCTCTCTCTCTCTCTCTCCTCTCTCTCTCTCTCTCTCTCTCTCTCTCTCTCTCTCTCTCTCTCTCTCTCTCTCTCTCTCTCTTCTCTGTTGTGTGTGTGGTGTGTGTTGTCTTCTGTCTCTCCCACATACACACACACTCACACACATACACATATATAGAGAGATAAATAGATAGATAAAATAGATAAGAATGATAGACAAATAGAGATACACACATATAGAACGGCAAATGTATATACAGACACTGATACAAACAATTAGATAAATTCTGTAGGTTAAAACTAATGAAACAAATATTTTTACATATATTTTTCAGTGTGTACGCACGGCGTTACATTTTTGTCACATATTTTTCTAAATCCTCTGGGGCTGATAAAAAAAAAAAATCCAAGCAAAATTAAATTCAAATTTGATCCATTCGCAAACAAAACATATTTTTTCGCTTTGGTCCTCTAAAATGTATAATATCACAAATGACACTTTAAAAAGGAAACGAAAAAATTAAAATCACGCTGCAGTCCACACCATCTGTTGCTAAAATACATAAATTCCATAACGGTCGCAAGATACGAGATATAATTTTGAAATTTCCTTTCCCGCCATTTCTGCTCCGCGCTGATCAGCTGATCGAGTGTCACGTGGGACTTGCTAGAGACCGCGAGCACAAAGATCTATTTTTTCCTTTTATGATTATTGATGATTATTAATGATGATGACGTTGATTATTGATGACTGATGATTGTGATGATGATGATGAAGATGAATAATGATAATAAATAAATAATATAGGAAATTGCTTCTGTGGATGTAGAAAAGTTTATGCAAATGAATGTATGATTTTTCTATTCTATGACGAAGAAAAAACAACTGTTCGAACGAAGGGATGAAGAAAAAGGGAGAAAATATAAAGAGAAGGTTAAATTCAAAAGATAATCCAAACATATTAACCGTAAAACAAGCTTATACGTGCAAAATACTTTCCTCTCCCTCCTACCCCCCCCACCCCCAATCAATGCAATAATCCAAGAACCCCCACTCCCCCCCCCTTTCCCTTAACCTCCATCTCCCTTCTCCCTTTCCTTTCAACTCTTCCCATACCCTCTTCCCCCTCCTTTCAATTCTCTCGACCCTCCCTTACCCTTCCTTCAACTCTCCCACCCCTCCAACCCCCTCCCTCCCTTCAAACTCCCTCCCCCTCTTCCCCCCCTCCCCCTCCCTTCAACTCTCCCACCCCCTCCCCCTCCCTTCAACTCTCCCCTCCCCCTCCACCCTTTCATTCAATTGCCCCCCCTCCCTTCAATTCTCCACCACCCTCCACCCTCTCTACCCCCTCCCTTCAACTCTCCCCACCCCCTCTACCCCCTTCACCTCACCCCTCCCTTCAAACCACCCCCTCTTCCCCCTCCGTTCAACTCTCCCCCCCCCCTCCACCCCTTCAAGACCCTTTTCCCTGTCCTTCTGTCGCGTATTTGGCATGCACCATCCCCCCCCTTGCAACAATTTCTCGTGTTGTACATGTGTTTTTTTTGTGTGTGTGTTTTTGTTGTTGTTTTGTTTTTGTTGTTTTTGGTCGGTCGCGCTCCTCTCTCTCTCTCTCTCTCTCTCTCTCTCTCCTCTCTCTTTCTCTCTCTCTCTCTCCTCTCTCTCCTCTCTCTCTCTCTCTCTCTCTCTCTCTCTCTCTCTCTCTCTCTCTCTCTTTTTACGTTTTTTATTGCCTCCTTTCGCTCACTCTTGTTTGTTTTGTTTTGTTTCTCTCTTTATCGCTTTTTATTCTCTTTTACTCTAGCTTGATTTTTTTTCTTTCTACTTTTTGCCTCCTTTTACTAATTCTTGCTTATTTTCATTCTTGTGTGATTTTATTCTCTCTCTTTCTTTTTCTTTTACATCTTTCATTGCCCCCTCTTGTTTATTTATATTCATGTATGATCTCTCTCTCGCTCTCCCTTCTCTTTCTCTCTCTCTCTCTCCCTCCTTCTCTCTCTCTTCCTCCCTACCTCTCTCTCTCTTATTTTTTTTTTCGTTCGTTACCAGGGTCCGTTTTTTCGATTCGTTGTTATTTTTTCTCTCTTTTCTTTTTCACGTTTATTGCTGTTTGTGTTTTGCTTTGTATTCTGTATCGAAGTCCGTGTCTTGCATGTAGACTTTGATAAGATTTTAATATATATAGATGTGCGGATTCGCGTACACATAAAGTACATACATTCAT